TAAAGACTCCCAAACTATCAAAAGGCATGGTTTTCAAGATCTGCTCCGGAAACGAGGACTATCGCCATTTTTAGCCTAAGTAAAAGTCGTTGCCATGGAAACTCGAAAAATATTATTTTTTAAAATCCCAAACCATCAAAAGGCAACAGTTTACCACTAGACCCATCTATTTGCCAAGTTTGGTGAAGAAATATTGTATGGTTTTCAAGTTCTGCTCCGGAAACGAGGACTATCGCTATTTCAGTCTAGGTCAAAGTCGTTGTCTCGGAAAATCGAAAAACATTTTGTTCAAAAATCCTAAACAATCAAAAGGCCCCAGTTTTCCACTAGACCTATCTATTTGCCAAGTTTGGTGAAGAAATATTGTACGGTTCTCAAGATCTGCTCCGGCAACGAGGACTATCGTCATTTTTAGCCTAAGTAAAAGTCGTTGCCATGGAAACTCGAAAAATATTTTGTTTAAAAACCCCAAACCATCAAAAGGCAACAGTTTACCACTAGACCCATCTATTTGCCAAGTTTGGTGAAGAAATATTGTACGGTTTTCAAGTTCTGCTCCGGAAACGAGGACTATCGCTATTTCAGTCTAGGTCAAAGTCGTTGTCTCGGAAAATCGAAAAATATTTTGTTCAAAAATCCTAAACAATCAAAAGGCCCCAGTTCACCACTAGACCTATCTATTTGCCAAATTTGGTGAAGAAATATTGTACGGTTCTCAAGATCTGCTCCGGAAACGAGGATTACCACCATTTCCAGTCAAAGTCAAAGTCGTTACCATGGAAACTCGAAAAATGATGTTTTCAAAAATCCCAAACTATCAAAAGGCAACAGTTTACCACTAGACCTATCTATTTGCCAAGTTTGGTGAAGAAATATTGTACGGTTTTCAAGTTCTGCTCCGGAAACGAGGACTATCGCTATTTCAGTCTAGGTCAAAGTCGTTGTCTCGGAAAATCGAAAAATATTTTGTTCAAAAATCCTAAACTATCAAAAGGCCCCAGTTCACCACTAGACCTATCTATTTGCCAAGTTTGGTAAAAGATATATTGTACGGTTTTCAAGTTCTGCTCCGGAAACGAGGACTATCGCTATTTCAGTCTAGGTCAAAGTCGTTGTCTCGGAAAATCGAAAAATATTTTGTTCAAAAATCCTAAACAATCAAAAGGCCCCAGTTTTCCACTAGACCTATCTATTTGCCAAGTTTGGTGAAGAAATATTGTACGGTTCTCAAGATCTGCTCCGGCAACGAGGACTATCGCCATTTTTAGCCTAAGTAAAAGTCGTTGCCATTGAAACTCGAAAAATATTTTGTTCAAAAATCCTAAACTATCAAAAGGCCCCAGTTCACCACTAGACCTATCTATTTGCCAAGTTTGGTAAAAGAAATATTGTACGGTTTTCAAGTTCTGCTCCGGAAACGAGGACTATCGCTATTTCAGTCTAGGTCAAAGTCGTTGTCTCGGAAAATCGAAAAATATTTTGTTCAAAAATCCTAAACAATCAAAAGGCCCCAGTTTTCCACTAGACCTATCTATTTGCCAAGTTTGGTGAAGAAATATTGTACGGTTCTCAAGATCTGCTCCGGCAACGAGGACTATCGCCATTTTTAGCCTAAGTAAAAGTCGTTGCCATTGAAACTCGAAAAATATTTTGTTTAAAAAACCAAAACCATCAAAAGGCAACAGTTTACCACTAGACCCATCTATTTGCCAAGTTTGGTGAAGAAATATTGTACGGTTTTCAAGTTCTGCTCCGGAAACGAGGACTATCGCTATTTCAGTCTAGGTCAAAGTCGTTGTCTCGGAAAATCGAAAAATATTTTGTTCAAAAATCCTAAACAATCAAAAGGCCCCAGTTTTCCACTAGACCTATCTATTTGCCAAGTTTGGTGAAGAAATATTGTACGGTTCTCAAGATCTGCTCCGGCAACGAGGACTATCGCCATTTTTAGCCTAAGTAAAAGTCGTTGTCTTGGAAACTCGAAAAATATTTTGTTTAAAAACCCCAAACCATCAAAAGGCAACAGTTTACCACTAGACCCATCTATTTGCCAAGTTTGGTGAAGAAATATTGTACGGTTTTCAAGTTCTGCTCCGGAAACGAGGACTATCGCTATTTCAGTCTAGGTCAAAGTCGTTGTCTCGGAAAATCGAAAAATATTTTGTTCAAAAATCCTAAACAATCAAAAGGCCCCAGTTCACCACTAGACCTATCTATTTGCCAAGTTTGGTGAAGAAATATTGTACGGTTCTCAAGATCTGCTCCGGAAACGAGGATTACCACCATTTCCAGTCAAAGTCAAAGTCGTTACCATGGAAACTCGAAAAATGATGTTTTCAAAAATCCCAAACTATCAAAAGGCCCCAGTTCACCACTAGACCTATCTATTTGCCTAGTTTGGTAAAGAAATATTGTACGGTTTTCAAGTTCTGCTCCGGAAACGAGGACTATCGCTATTTCAGTCTAGGTCAAAGACGGTGTCTCGGAAACTCCAAAAATGAAATTTTCTCAAAAATCCCAAGCTATCAAAAGGCACCAGTTCACCACTAGACCTATCTTTGTGCCAAATTTGGTGAAGAAATATTGTACGGTTCTCAAGATTTGCTCCGGAAACGAGGATTACCACTATTTCCAGTCTAAGTCAAAGTCGTTGCCATGGAATCTCGAAAAATGATGTTTTCAAAAATCCCAAACTATCAAAAGGCACCAGTTCACCACAAGACCCATCTATGTGCCACGTTTGGTTAAGATATCTCTCACGGATTTTGTGTTCTGCTCCGGAAACGAAATGCGAAGGACGGACGGACGGACGGACGGCACCTATTCCTATATCCCCCTTCAACTTCGTGGCGGGGGATAATACTGGTGACATCAAATCTAGGAAAAACTATGCAAAGTCGCGCATGCACGGAACGGAAAATTTGCACAAGGCATTACCAATGCGCATGCGCAGAACGATTGATTTAAGTACTTCCGCTAAGCGCTTCGAGTACAGCGTCAAACTCGGGCCTTTAATCTAACACGCGAGAACTGACCAATGAAATCTAAAAAGTAGGAATACCGGTAGAGGCTGTTGTTTGATTGACAATGTCAATCAAGAAAGGGAGGAGCTTGATGATATGGTTCTCTCCCAGTAAATTCCGATGTCAAATAACGGCGTTATTTGGACGGAAAAACGATGGTTAGAAAACGCCCAAATAACGTCGTTTTTCCGTCCAATGACCATATACGGAAAGAAACGACGTTTTTTTGTGTTTGCAGTGTGAACAACTGGTGAAAATGTTGCCTTTAGGTAGCTTGATTCTAATTGCTAGTTTGACTTGAGACCCACTGCCGATGTGCAGCTGCCTGCGACAGGGAAAGGTAATTCTAATAACAACCACCGGACGGTTATACATCTTCATGTTAGGTCATGAGAAAATATTGCTGTTATTGTTTATGTTTATCTTCATAATATTTATTTTACTACATCAAGATATGGAACTCATATAGTATTGTTTCCTTATCTAGTTTGGTGACATAAGTATTATGATTTTACTTCACATATGTACTCCTTATTAACTCCATAACTTCTAGAATGCCAAACAGTTGTAAATCTAGAGCCAACTTTATGGAGGTGTTCCTTCGAATTTCAATAGTTTTATAAAACATGGTTGGGGTATATGTCTTGCTGCTGTTACAAAAATCATAATACTTAAATCATGAAAGTGTCGATCCAGGAAGAAAAAAGAAAGAGAATAGTCCATCATCCTCTTTGAAAACTTTGTTACAACAAGGTGCAAAGTGCGATGGAAGGCACCTAACCAGTTCCAATATTGATATATGCAGCAAGCTATGCGCTTTTGCAGCCACTTCAAGACAGAAATCAAATCAAAGGTATTCGTATTTCCACTGTTGAAGGTTTCAATCTGAATCAAGATCGCGATTTAAAATCCCAACTGTCTTACAACAGCGCGAAGATCCGTTTGTGCAAGTGGGATATGACTCAGCCATGTATTTTGTAAAGTGGATTGTAAGCACCTATGGTCGATGGTAACTAATGATGATCTGTGCAAGTGGGCCCAGTTGATAAAAAAGCATCACAAGAGGTTGTGTTGTACGTGCTGCAGTCATGTTGTTACATACGAGAATGAGCATGTTAAAATCACTTGAAGTCGACAACTGACTGGGAGAGGCAGGCTGACTGCCATGGCTTGTGACTTGCTGCTATGGAAGGATCTGATAAGAATAGCTGTTGCCCTGTCGCGGTGCTGCAGGATCTGTATTCGATAATTAAGGAATGCACAGAAAGATTTTCTTGTTTTACAGATACATCTCTGGTGTTTATGCTGGCAGGATCTTATGTCATGTGAAAAGGGGTATAGTTAAACCAAGAGTATCTCATGGTTCAGAATTGTTCATAATCATGTTTAACATTAAAGATTAGTGACTGTCCTCTTGTTGTTTGTTTTACCTAATGACGGCAGTCGGTGTGAATGTGTATATAAAATGATTTCATGGAACTCATTTCAGGATTTTTTGAATGAAACAAAAATATTGAAGTGAGAAGTTTTACTGACATGTCAGTATTACAAGCAAATTCAAGAAAAAACATGATTGTGGATTCTTATATCTTTCTAAATCCTTATCATGACGTACGTCATTGTTGTAGAGCAGTCAAAAGTGACATTTACAAGCACAACCATTCAGGGTGTAACAATTATATTGGCAACGATTGTTACTTGACCAACGAAAAGTAAACACATTCAATAACAGTGTCAGAGCTATGCAGAAGGTTGTCTCTATTTGAACAACACCACATGTACATTGGAACTACATTTCCAATAAATCAAAAAATATATCCATATTTGTGTTAGTCATGGTATTTAACATTAACATCATGACATTTATCAAGATGTCAACATTATCAAACAGTATGAATATCAAAGTGATATTTCAGGCATTTGGTAGGCAACATATATGTATCACATAGTAGACGGAACTTTCTGAATATTACTTACCCTGCACTTCCAGCTTCTGTCCACAGTCAGGAATGATTTGTCCCCTTGATCCTGGTGAGCCTCTGTAACACTTGTAATGACCTGCGTCTTCCCAAGTTACATCAGAGAGCACGAATCTGAACAGACCGGTTCCTGATGATGACACGTGTCCAATGAATCTCACTCTAGATGTGAACTTGTCACTGGCAGCTCTGACATCATTATATCCTGTGATGTGAAGAAGGCATGTCTTTGTCTCACTTTTACAGACACTGAACTCCCTGGTCCCAGGCACCGGGAGAGTCCATGACAACGTGGCATAGCTGCCAAACCTGACATGCTCAGTTGTGGGCACTGGAAAAGAGAAGATTTATGAAAGATTGACAGAGGTAGACTTGCAAACATGTATCACTAACGAAGAGTGTGACTTATTTATAAAAGTTTGATTGAAAACAGAAAACGCAAAATATCACATTAAGTCAATGCTCTAGTAGTGTACCCTGTATACATGTAACATCCAACTGATTACTGTACAACATCATATAAACTAAAACAATGTCAGAGCTTACATAAAAGACATAGTCATAAACACGTGAATAGTCTTTTCATGTGGCAATGTTGTGTATACAGATACTCCCTGTATTTTGCATATTTGTAAATATTATATTGAATTGATGTATTGGCCTTTTAATGTAGTTAAAGAATACAGCTGTTGTACTCTACAATGTTTATTTCAGCAGAATATGAACTTATCCTATGAGCTTTTTTTTAATCGACTGTACATTTAAGCCTTATCTTCAACAATAATAAGCTGTGGTGTATGATAGGTAGGCTGGGTCATTCTGGATTTGTTTCTGTTGTTTCTTTGTTAAGTCAGCTTACACCTGATTGTTCCAGTCTACAACCTAGCAATCAGCATTTCCCATTCACACCAACCATTACACCTCACCATGTTGAGTGACCACAACCGTCCTTTGCGTGGATTTAAAGTTGATCAATGAGATCATCCTTACAAGTTAGTGATATATTATATACGCATTATTATGTATTTGAATTTATGTATTCAGTTACCTTACGACACTGTTTTAATATTTATCTAAATTGTCAGTTGTTATGTGTCGATTCCCAAATTGAAACATTATGTTAACACAGAAATATGTACGTACAAGAACTTAGTGTGAAACCAACAAGCAACCAACAAATGGAGTACAATCAACAAATGTATTACAAAATTACCTAGGTTTACAAATCAATACAAATTACTGTACAGCAAATACAATGGCAGTACACAACAGAGTGGCAGTACAAAATTGAATGACAGTAGATGATATGATGGCACTGGCCAGAATCAAATACAAAAATTCAGTGGTGATAGCAAAGTCAATGATAATAGTATATGCACTCAGCGGTGACAGTGGTCGAGCTTCCGAGAGAGGTCAAGGCAGGGAAACAGGGATGATGATATTCACAAGAAAGCTGGTCTTGATGTTATGAAATGTGTGAGAGAGATACGGAGACACGCTCTTGTCCCCTTATGTACAGTCTACCAGATACTGGAAATTTCCACGCATTGCCCTCACAACATATAATATTCCACATATTTTTATAACACACTATCACAGTCCACGGTATTCCGGAAGTTTACACATGACGCTATCATCTAAATATAGTATCTTCCGCATAACTGCTTACATTAAACAGTACTACATTTCTGACAACTAATCACTGTCCAGCGAGTAACAACACAAACAACGTCACACAGTTACACAAAAATATACACTGCCATTGAACACAGTATGTAATTAGTTATATTATCGCACTGTTTAAATATTTGTCAAAATTGTAAGTTTATATTTTTTGAGGTCAGTAAGACAAAGTAGAGACAATTTATGGATAAAATCTTCTTTATTAGCCAAACAAGCTATCAACCGTTCTTCTGCTCACCCCAAACCTGAGATCGAACACCTCCGCAAAGTCTTTACCAATTATCCACCCAAAGTCGTCGACAAAGTCAGATCCTCTGTACCCTATCCCACATCCAGATCTGCAACCTCTAAACTTGAGACCCGTCCACATCGCCCGCCAATTCATAGGAAAATCTTCCCACATGATAAACCGCCTCCTCCAAGAGCAAGCCAATATTGACACCTACTTCACCAGTTCACCTCCCTCAATACCCTACTTAGAGCCAACTGCAGAAACACAACCAAACGCTAATAACCTTAAGGAGTAGTTTATAAAATTGAACTGTGGGCAACCCTACGTAGGTGAAACATCCCGCCGCATCAAACATCAAAACCAGAATCAAAGAGCACAATACTTCAACCATCAAATCAGACCATATTACCAACTGTCCCAATCACAACATCAACTGGAAAAAAACTCCAAATCCTCTCCAATAACCTCCATGACTTCACTTATCAAAAACGAACTGTAGTGCACATTCGCCACCACAAGTCATCAATCGGTAGAGATCAAGACCAGCAATAATCACCCCACCTATGTACACATAATCCTGTGTAATTGGCTTATTGTCTTATTGGCTTCCTCATCATGTGTTCTCTGTCCACCATGTTTCAGTATTATCCTTCTGTTGTCATTGTTTAACCTACTCACGTTAATCGCTCTGATGTATGCAATTGTTGTCAATTCTCCGCCAGCTATATTTATTCTGAACCAAGTTCATTATTCAGCCTTGTTTGACAACAGTATAAGGATGTATGCAGAAACGTCGCCTTTGCAGTAAATAAAGAAGTTGTGTTCTCTATTTTGTCGTCCTTCAACTTCTTAGTAGTACGTATCACACAGTTCATAGGTCAGTGAGTCTGCAAATAGTTAAAACATCTAGTAATTCAAGCACTATCTATCTTTACCCACTCTATACCCTTTATTTCAGAATGAGTGAATGCATATTTGTATACGTGTATGTTTGTTTACAGGTATCTGTGTTGTTTATGTGTAATGTGAAGTGCTCATAGCTATTAATTATGAGTATTACTTGAGTATGCCTGTTTGCTACCCCACCTGATTTTCCTTGATATGGAATGTTTTTATTTGGATGCAGTCACCATAGTCATCGTACCGTATAATCAGCATTTGCCGCAGCCACTACGCGCCTCACAGGGTATGATTGTAGTTTTGTATATAATACAATCATACATGCATACAGTTATCTGCATCCTTGAATGTAAATACATGAGTTCTGCTTTATAGCTATGCTATCTTCCGAGTGACGTTGTAAATGTATACATAGATGATTTCATCCTTACATATCTAGGGATGTGAATATTTGTTATGAAGTATATGTTTTAGGGCGTTATGAATCTTTAGTACACTATGACATGTGCCAAAGTCAAGTCAAAGTCAAAGATATTTATTTCATTTAAGGCTTCTGGCCCATATACAAAAAAGTAGTTTTACATATTTGGATATGTACTCGTGGTTAACAATTTGTTTCTGCGGCACATTTTTCTTAAAAATATATTGGCAGTTTGTAATATGACAGCATCATCTTTTGAAGAAAGAAGAGATATAAAAGCAGGAACACGATAGTTTGACAGATAGCGTTTGGGTATGAACTTGTTTCTTAGATCACAATAATAAGGACACACAAAAGTAAAATGAATTTCATTTTTTATAGCTGATTGACATAATGGGCACAACCTCATCGACTTTTCATTGGACATTTTTCTTTCTTCATTTATCATGGGATCTAACAATCCGACTCTAAATTGAATAAATGGACGTCAAAGGGTTCTTGTTGTTAATGTAGATAAGTATTTATCTGGTTGAATAGGACTCTTATTAGTTCTATACAAGTCATACCTTGAAGTGTTTTCTAGAGTTTCCTGGTAAAACAGATAAATTGTTCACGAAATTGCTTCAAAAAAAGTTTAACATCAGTTAACATGTTTGAGTGAGCGAGAACCCTCACAAATAAGCCTGCCATGTCGACAACTCGTGTCGAGTAAACATCAGTTTCTGAGATTCTCTCTAGAAAAAGAGAGTTGGAGGAGATTAGTAGCAGACGACGCACATCTGAGGAACAAGGTTCTGGTTTTAAAAATATCTACATTGATAACATGTCTCTTGTCGAGTTGAGGACACAGTCCAGTCTTTTGACCCTTGTAAAAGAACTAGACAAATTCTATCTCAAAGGCAGCAGTATTTTTAAAGGGAAAGCTAGATGTGGAATTGAAATGGATAACATCGAGGGTGTTGACAAAATACATCCCAGGTCAGTCATTGATTGCAATGGAAATATCTATGGAGCTATGCTTTCTCGACTTTCTTTGTGATGTCAAATTTTGATGACAGTGACGATTTACATATTTGTGTACTACAGGGCGGTCGGTCGTTGACTATGTTGTAGTATCGCACGAGCCATTTGTCACTACACAGATTTTAAAGTTCAATCTATGTCAAGCATTACCTCTACGCTTAATATTCCAGTGCCTGATAAAATCATTCTGTGCTCAAATTCAAATTTGCTATCAATGTTTTTGATCGGTACACTGTTGGTATTGCCCCAGATCGTCATGGGAGACCCGCTCGTTGACCAGATATTCCTTACGATTTCTTTATATCACAGGATGATGTGATACGTTCACATGAATGTATCAAACGCATTGAATCCAGTTTGAATGCACACAATCTTCTTAATGAAGCTTACGACAGATTCACATCTCTTATTCATCATGAGCTTAATAAAAGCGCAATACCTACACCCTGATATTAAGTTTGATACTGAACACCCGGAAAATATAGTGCTAGAATTATCAAATTTTTGTTATAACAAAGGAAGATAAAACAAACTGTGATACCTTGAACGTCCTATTTTGTTGGTGGAAGTAGTGAAAGCAATGGAGCGCGCTAAATCCACAAAGGCGGCGGGTATTGATAATTTGAGTGTCTGAAAAATCCTGTCTGTGTTGACATATTGCTGAAAATGATGACTCATTGTTTTAATAATGGTGTAGTACCTGATGCATTGCAACAGAGTATCATTAATCCTATTGCTAAACCTGACACCGATGTTTACCGATATCCTCTGTCATACAGAGGTATCTCTCTTATTTCTGTACCCTGTAATATTTATTGTGACATTTTAAATGCGAGATTGAGTGAGTGGTGCGAAAGAAATAATATTTTAATGGAGAAGCAAAATGGCTTCAGAAAAAAGGAGCTGTTTGGATCACCTGTACATCAGTTGTACAATAAGCTGTTTTATTGACATGAAAAAGGTGTTCGATAATTTAAACAGAGATTGTTTATGGTCGAAAATATTAATAAATGGCACAAACGGAAAAATGTTTGAAGCTGTTAAAAGTTCATATACCAATGTGAAGTGCGCT